CAGGAAGAAACCTTCCGTTGATTCACTTGCACAGCGCATTTATACTTCTCGTTACTAGTTCACAATGTATTTCGATATATTAAAATCATTCATATAAATAAAGTTTTGAAACGAGCTCACTAATTATAAACTAATTAAAAACAATAATTCTGAAATAATTTCAGTAAATTCGATACAATAATTTTTATTTTCAATTTCTTGTGCGATTTAATTAAAATTATAAACACGGAATAAGTGCCAATTATGGATAATAATTTACTACAGTTTTATTCAATTCTCAATTATATATTTTCATATTCATTTTCTTACACAACAGCAAATGTAGAAATTATTTCATCACGTCATAACGAGTTTCCATACGAGTGCAGCGTGCAATTAAATTGCAATTATTAAACAGATCGCACAGATTCTACTTTTACAGATGAACGAGAATCGGTCGGTTGACATCATCGTCACGTTTATACTGTTTCGTCAGTATAGTTTTATTATTCTTGCATAATTTCTATTTGCATACTCATTCGGATATTCTTAAACGGTATTGAACGCAGTTTAGATACTGTATACTTAATTTTTTTTAAATAATTAAACAATGAACTGAAGTTACAGATTATGTATTTATGCTTGGAATGAATTTAATTATAAAATATCTGTGGATAAATGATAAATATCGATGCGTTTTTCGTGTTACTATCATGAACAACGATTCCTATGGTAGAAGTGGATGCTGGACCGTAGAGTACTGTGGGCGATTGGAAAGAAATATGTCACGACAGGGACGTATTGCGTTAAGGAAAACAGATCGAAAACTATTACAAACAAACTAATCATCTATAAAATATAAGTAAATGAATTAGACTACACGTTACAATTTTTACTATGAGCATTTCAACACATCATTTTCAAGCAATCATTATTTCATCCAATCATCAGACTCCTGTTATGAGAATTAATTATATCTTGTTTTTATAATAACTAGCTATCACTATATTACATATACTGAAACAGTATGAGAGCTACGTTTTTGAGACGTGAAGTTTTATGATAGTATTTGAAATAAATGTTTCTTGGAGCTATTAGAATCTGGCCGTCCCTGTACGTAGGAGTGAACCCGACTGTTGCGATTCCTGTGAACGCGTTCACCGGACAGGCTTTGTAAGTGCACGCGCGCTTTTCACGCTCATTCTTCGAACGCACACGCGCAAGCGTGCTGCGTACATTTATACGTATACTGTATTTAACGTCTAATAAACATTGCAAATTATACCGCGGCTAAAGATATTCAATAAGATGCATATGATAATGTACTGCTATCGAAGCATTCAGACAATTGTCTTGCAAAATGATTGTAAATCATGTAGCATAAATAGAAATTAAGTGCATTGCTCACAGTTGGAGAAGATCTATAACAAATTTGTATTGTCATGTCCAGCAGGATAATCG